AAAAAACTCTAAGGCATATATAGTAAAAAACCGTTAGTTTAAAAGATATTTAAATTTAATTAAGTTTTCATGGTACTTACCTTTATACTTACCTATACTTACCTCTTAAATCAGCCATATTTTGAATTAATCATTTTTTAGCAGTTTACTTAATTCTAAGAAATTAATGAATGTACAGAGTTGGTTATTAATTATTATTGTCTTATTTTCTCATTGATTTTTTTATAATATTAAGAAATATTTAAAAATTTGTATGATTTCAAGTAAAGAATACTTTATGTTGTTAATTTTTTTCGCTAATGTTGAGAACTTATGGAAATTAATTTTGTTTTTTTATATTGAACTATTTTATTATATCAATAGATGTAAAACGTTATTCTCCATAAAAAGATAATAAGCATTTATAACAATAGATTAATTTAAGAAATATTTAAATATTTTTAAATCTAATGAAAAGATATTGGAACAAGGTATTGTATGAAAATGTATAAATTTGGGAGATAATTGAATATAATTAAATATTTCTTATATTATAATTTTTTGGGTATAAGTATTTTTTTTTTACATATAAGAAAGAATATATTGTATTCTATATATAACATATATATTACATCTACTATTACATCAAAATATATATATAATTATATTTAAAAAAAAAATGATTTGAACGTCATATCATCTTTATGTATTCATTTATAAAACCATGAATTAAATGAAAATTTCCCCTCTGAAATCATTTAACTTTTATTTCTAATATTTTTACTAAGGAAAATTAAAATGATACCAAGTGAGACATTAATTTATATTTCTAAATTGATTATAGATATTAAATATGATATTTTAATAATATTTCACTCATACATATTAATTGACTTTTGTGAATTATTTGTATAAACAATTAAATTAATAATGATTTGTGTTTACATGTGAAGAAAAAAATTTCGTAAAATAAGACATATTTTAAATTAAAATCGATAATGAGCTAATCAGTAAATTCACTGCATCTTCTTTGATGTAGTGATGGATAGAAATCACTTACGAATTGTTGTTGATTGCAGAAATTCTGTGGAAAAATCCGAAGGAAATGCCGATACATGGTGTAGCATAGGCGTTCTATATCAACAGCAGAATCAACCTATGGATGCTCTGCAAGCGTATATATGCGCTGTACAATTAGACAAATCACACTCAGCTGCGTGGACTAATCTGGGCATTTTGTACGAAAGTGTTAGTCAGCCAAAAGACGCTCTAGCTTGTTACGTCAACGCATCCAGGTAAAGTAAAACGTTGACTCAGTGCACACATATCTCACTGTTATATTAACAATGTTGTTTTTTTGGAAGTTAATATTGTACATACAACGAGATAGAATGAGATATAAGGGAAGATATAAGGGATATAAGATTTTTTTTTTTCGTTATTTATGATTGTAAAATTGCCTTCCATAGTAATATTTAAATTTAAATTTGATTAACAAATTTTTTAAGATACCGCAAATCATTTAAATTTATTATTATTATTATTATTAATTTTAGAAATTGGTGTTTCAATAATTTAATTTTTTTCAGCAAGTAATATTTCTTATTGCTTGAAGAAATAAGTAAGAATAAGTTTTGACAAAGAAATTTGGACTATGGATTTGGAATATATTAAAGAAAATTATGATTTTAAAAGAATTTTAATTTATATTGTCAATATGTTAATTTTAAATATTTAATTTGAAATATTAATAATATAAGATAAATATTTATAATATAAGATTAGAGAAAAAATATACTATAATATAAATAAAAATATATATTTATGTTTATTATTTATATAAATGTTTAAAAAGAGAAATAAAAAATTCAAAATTCTTATGACGTATTAAAAATTAATTTATTAATTTTATAAAAAATATATTTTACATATTAAATTTAAAAAATTAAAAACGACTTTTTTCATTAGGAAATAATTATACAATTTTTATTTTTTATTTTTTCATTCTTCTTTAATACATAATTATATATACATAATTGGTATAAATTTTTATAATAAGAATTAATTTTTAAAATTTGGAGCATTTCGTACAAATCGTTTAATTTTTATCCTTTTCAATTCCTTTCAAATTCTTTTTCTATTTTATGAATCTTCACTGTCTGTAACAAAAAATAGTTATAATTATATAAATTATATAAATTAATTCTGTACAATTAAAAAATTTATCACGTAGAATAAGAAATTATTATTGTTATTTCGATTTCAAGCGTTTCATTATTGAGTTTTTATTTTTTTTAACTCTCTTACTATTTTTTCCATTTATATGCTTTGTCGAAAAATATTATATAATGCACTTATTAGTACATATTAATATATAAATGTGTATTCCATTAAATTAATGATAGTAATTTCGTTGATTTATATATTAGAATTATCTAATCAAATATACAGGGTATCTCATACAATTAATCTATCTTCCAATTTAATCGCAGAACAAAGTATAAAAACATTGTATAAAAATGTTTGTTAAAATTATTTCTCCACGATATTATCTGTGCGATACCCTATATATGTATATATTTTTTTTATTTTATATTGTAGTCTTAAGAACAGATTTAAAAAAAAATCATTTTAATATCTTCTTTTATTCTTATAAAAAAATTTTTAAGAAACTCTTCAAAATAATCTCCCTTAACTCCTAATATGATTGACTATGGATAACTATAATTAAGTTATATTTGACCCATATTTTCAAGATTTTTTCAAGATACATTTATTAATTTATTAAATTAAATTATTAGATTATATAAATAATAGATAAAAATTTATTTAATATATTTTACTGTCAAATCATAGTATATAATTAACTTTTTTCAAATTTATTTCTCATCATTATTATTTCTGTAAATTTATTATATTATTTCTGTAAAATTACAAAAGCTATAAATGTAATGATTATAAAAAATGAAAAATACATTATAATAAAAATTGTATCGTTATAAGATTATGAAAAAGATGATGTTAAATATATTATATATAGTATATAACAATTATAGACAGTATTATATTATAGACAGTATAAAACAATTAAAAATATATCAAGTGATGATAAGTGTAAAATTGAATTTTATTATTTCAATTCATTATATCTTTTATACTATGATTTTGACTGATATTATGTATGTATTCTTTTTTTTTTCATTCAAAATTCGAATTTTAAATAATCCATTTATATTGTTTATACAAGAGAGTGCATTATATCATTTGATGCGCTTATCTATATATCATTATTAACTTGATAAATATATATTATATTATAATACATACATCGATTAAATCAATCCATATGAATTAAATTCTTCAACTTTTCTATACAAATACTCTTTCTTCACTATCAGTTTTTTCCACTTTGTTTCTTTATTAAACGATTACTGTATTACTAATGTACATTTCTTTAATTCAAATAAAACATATTCTTCCATTTATTACTATCGATCCATACCATCGTAAGAATTTTTAATTTGGAGTAAAAATTCCTTCATATTCAAAACGAACTTCTATATTTTCTTTATATGCATTTTGTATTCATGTATTCATTGTATACCTCTTGCACAGTTTTATGCTGCATAGTGAATCGCCCTGCTGAGTGGCATATTGCGCACATTACGAGAAAAATGAGTAAGTCGAGGACAGGTCAGCGTTCAAAAAAGAAAAAGAAAAAAAAGAAAAAAAGAAAAGGAAAAAAAGGAGAGAAAATAAAAAAAGAAAAATGAAAAAGCAAAAAAAAAAAAAAAAAAATGAAAGCTCACCTGTCCATGAAAGTTGAAACATCATGTAGTAAAATAATTTCTTTCTTTTATAGGGGTAATAACAACACACCAAATTGCACGGGTTCACTGGTGGGCCTGGGTGGTGCTAAATCAGGTGGTAATACCCCGATGAACCCATCGCTACAACAGCGGATCAACTTCCTCCAAAGTCATCTGAGCCAAGCACCAATGCCTTCCGTCGCCACTAAGTAATTTGATTTTTTATTGGATATTCTATATTTTTCGCTGAATAATTTTCCTTTAGATTGAAAGAAAAGATTATCAATAGAAATATACATATGCATTGATTTTATCAATATACATAATGTTTTTATTTTTGTGAAGGAGGCGGCAACTGCCGTCTATAGAAGAGGCTTGGAACTTACCCATTAGCGCTGAGATGTCTAGCAGGCAGCAACAGCAGCAACAAACACCCACTGGTCCGGGTTATAAATATGGTTCCACTCCTTCTGGACCACCACCTCCTTATCCTCAAGGACAAGGACAGAATCTTAATACAAAAAGATTTAAGGTAAAGATTTTTCATTAAAAATAATTGAGAAAAAGTGATATAAATGTCAACAAATTTTTATTTGAAAAATTGTAATTAAAATGAATTCGAATATTCAATTAATAAAATATAAATTTATAAAAAAAACATATATTATATATATATATATATCATTAAGATATATTCAGAAAATATAAATAATCATACCATTGTAGTTTCTTTTTATGATGATTCCGACAATTTAATCTGTTGCCGAGATATAGATTCAAAATGTTTATAGAACAGAATTACATACATAGAGATTAATGGTGCGACCTAAAGACCTACATTTTCTTCCTGGAACTGTGTACTGTATATCCCAAGAATCGCGTCTGTCACTTACCTGGAATTTAGGATAGGTTAGTGAGATTAAGTGTAAAGGAAAGATTCGAATAAGCAACAAGAACGAAAATAATAAATAATGAAAAATTAATCTTTTCTTTATGATATCTTGAAAACTGGAAGTAATGTCGGAATAAATAAAAAAGTATTTTAAAAAAAAGATTCTATATTTCTAATAGTCTTTTATCCATTGACCAAAAATTATTATCTTCAAACTTATACTTATAATAGTTTAAAGTTTTTTGAATTTTAATATACTTTATTTGTCTTATATTACATATAAGAATAAAATTATATCACTTTTTCACTGCAATTAATTACTTCTTATTGATTTTAATTATTTAAATAAATTATATTTATATAAATTTATATAAATTATTTTTAGCCGGGAGAAGAACCAATTTCTCCAGGTTCACAACAGAGACCACCACCATTTTATCTCACGTCTCAACAACTGCAAATGTTACAATTTCTTCAACAAAATCATGGAAGTTTAACGCAACAACAGCAAGGTTTGCTTGCACAATTACAACAACAATACAGATGTATGCAACAACATCAACAACAAATTAGATTACAACAACAACAAGCTGCTCAAAGAGGTTTAAGGCCAGGACAACCTGGTTATCCTACAGGTTACAATCATACACAACTAGGACAACCTGGCGTGATCAAGAATTACGGGATACCTCAGCAACCGGTATCGTACTTTTCATTTTAAAATCTTTCTCATTTTTTTATTTTCCTAAAGTAATAATTATATTATATTTTAAATAATTATTTTTTGTAATAGTTGCAGCAAGGTGGAACTGTTGCATTACAAACAGGGTTCTCAGATTCTAATGTCGGTTATAACACGGCAGCAACTGGGAACAGTCAAACACCAGGAATGCCTTACAAATCTGCCTCTGATTCAAACTATCCTCAAAGGCAATTGACATCCGGCCAATATAACCAATACCAGCCTAATCAATACACTGCCCAGGGTTACACACAAATATCGTCCACGACGAGTAATTATCCCGAAGGTTCCGCGGGAAATAAAGACCTGGGAGTAACAGATCAAGAATTACAAGCTTTGTTATCACAAAAAGATATTGCGACATCTTTGGCGGAGGATTTATTAAAACATTTTGGTTCGGAAGATTTAGATGTAAAAGAAGAAGCACCGAGCATCATGAACAATGGCACGTTAAGTTCAGGTCCGTTCTCACCATCGAATCTCGAAGAGAGTACAGAGAAAATCAAAGAGGTAAAACTAGAGAAGGTTGAGGATAGTCAACCTTCGTCTACGTCGAAACTCGAAGCATACGAAAAAAGCAATACAAAGACATCGACTCCAGTAGTTGAAACGGTGAAATGTGAAGCGACCTCGAGTACAAATAAAATCGAATCAGTTACTCGGATTGAACCGGTGCTTAAATTGGAAAGCTTGTGTGAATCACAACCTGAACAAGAACTTAGTATAGATATGGATTCTAAGGGTATTATAGAAGCATGTAAAGGTCAGGGATTAAAAGGTGTACCAAATTGCTCCATACTGAGTGATCGTTCACCTCCACCTGCCCCACCTGATCCTCCAAATCAGAGACTAACCAAGGAACAACTTTTACCCCCAACTCCTAGCGTTTATTTAGAAAATAAAAAAGACGCATTCAGTCCACAACTCCAAGAGTTTTGTTTAAAACATCCGATAGCTGTGATTCGCGGTTTGGCGGCCGCTTTAAAATTAGATCTTGGATTGTTCTCAACGAAAACTTTGGTAGAAGCAAATCCAGATCATGGTATCGAGGTGAGAACACAAATGCAACAGACCAGCGATGAGAATTGGGATCCTGTCATGGGCAGAAAAGTTTGGGGTTGTATCAGTCATAGAAGTCACACAACTATTGCGAAATATGCGCAATATCAGGCGTCAAGTTTTCAAGAAAGCTTGAAAGAAGAAAGGGAGAAAGCTCAAGGTATACATACCTCGAATTTATCCGATTCAGATTCGAAAGATAGTACTGGTGCTGTTAGAAGAAAGAAAAACGCTTTTGGATTGGCGGGTCGACCGGGTTCGAAGATGTTGCGATTTGGGACCAATGTAGATTTATCAGATGAAAGAAAATGGAAACCGCAGCTTCAGGAGTTAATGAAACTACCGGCATTCGCTAGAGTCGTTTCGGCGGGAAACATGCTCAGTCATGTTGGCCATGTTATTTTAGGAATGAATACTGTTCAGTTGTACATGAAGGTATGTAATATTTATTTATTATTATTTAATAGATCATTGCATTTTTTTACTATTTTGAAAAATAGATTCAAAGCAGAAATATTTCTATAAAAATTTCAATAAAAATTTCAATATTTACAATATTTAAAAAAATTTATAATTTTTGTAACAAACTTTGTGAAATTTCATAATTAGTTTTTTAAACATTAATCTTTAAGGATTATTTTTATTTGTTTTTATAGGTACCTGGTAGTAGAACACCCGGTCACCAGGAAAATAATAATTTTTGTTCTATTAATATCAATATTGGACCAGGAGATTGCGAATGGTTTGCAGTACCTGATGCATATTGGGGAATAATTTGCTCACTTTGTGAGCGAAATAATATCAATTACCTTCATGGTAGCTGGTGGCCTTCTTTAGAAGACCTGTATGAGGAAAATATTCCTGTATATAGGTTTTTACAAAGACCAGGTGATCTTGTTTGGGTTAATGCGGGTAAATAAATTGTTAATAATTATAAATTATTCAATATTAATTAAATATATTGTATAATAATTCGCAATTTAAAGAAACAAAAAAAAATTATTTTTTAATAATTTTTAACATATATTTTTATTTAAAAGTTTTATTTAAATTATTAAAATTAATAAATAAAAATATTTGATTACAAACTATCAAAATAAAATTTATTTCACTATTTTTTAGGTTGTGTACATTGGGTTCAAGCTGTTGGATGGTGTAATAATATTGCATGGAATGTAGGTCCTTTGACTGCTCGACAATATCAACTGGCAATCGAACGTTATGAATGGAATAAACTACAATCATTTAAATCTATAGTACCAATGGTACATTTATCCTGGAATTTAGCCAGAAATATCAAAGTATCAGATCCCAGATTATTTGAATTAATTAAAAATTGCCTATTAAGGACAATGAGACAGTGTTGTTTAATATTAGAATTTGTGAAAAGTAAAGGTGTAGAAGTTCGGTTTCATGGACGAGGAAAAAACGAAGCATCGCATTATTGCGGCCAATGCGAGGTAAAATATTTTTAAATAAAACTCTTAATTGTTTTGTAATAATGTAATAATATTAGATTTTTAATTTATATAAAAAATAATTACATATTTTGATAAAAGATAAATTGTCAAATACATATTAAAAGATAAATTGTAAATTTACATTTTTTTTCAGATTGAAGTATTTAATATCTTGTTCATAAGGGAACAAGAAAAACGACACGTAGTGCACTGCATGGATTGTGCACGAAAACAATCCCCATCCTTAGAAGGATTTGTTTGCTTAGAAGAATATAGAATGCGTGATTTAATGGAGGTTTACGACGGATTTACTTTACATACCTCTCTAACAACTCCTTCATCAGCTCAGTCTAGCCAATCCTCCTGAGAATACATGCAACACAGATATTTAGACTTCTTAGGCACTTTACAGTGACTTTGATAGTATAATATCTGTGTTTAAAAAAAATCTTTATGATAAGGATTGTTTAAGTACCTGAGAGCTATCATGAAGAAAATGAAAACAGATCGAAAAATTTTATATGTTAGACTGTATAGTCAAACATCTGTTTCCATATTAATTTTAAGGTACGCACAATATATGTTATATATGAAAGAATTGAAAATTTTTAATATTCTGACAATTAGTTAGTACTATTTACACAAACTGAAAACTATATTCGATCAATTTTATATTGGATTAATACAAAATCTCCAAAACATTGTTCTAGCTCTCGGGCATAGAAAATTGAAGCTAAGTTAAACGAGAGAAGACTGTGCTTTACTTGTAAATTACTTGATATCATGATTTGCTAAAACTTTGCAATAAGATATAATGGATAATTATCAAACTTGGTCACGTTTCTTATCAGTTTTATATCATGGCTAGAGTCTGAAAAGCATTTAATATTCATTTTTGTCATGAAAGAAAGAAAATATATATATATATATATTTTTTTTTTTTTTTTTTTTTTTTTTTTTTTTTTTTTGTTATTTTCTTCATAAATCGCATATTTCGAAATTTTTACGATTAATAAATTGCCAAAGAAAGCAGAAAAAAATTTCATATACACGAAAACATCATAGAAATGTTCACTGCCAATCGTGAATATAATAAAAGATTACATTTAGTCCAAAGTGATGAGGGATAAATTGTCGTTAATTATTGTTATGAATTAAGATACGATTGTAAAGTATTGCAAAGCTGCTCAAAACATACTTTTATGTACATTTTTGTATACAAACGGATTGAAACGATTACTACTTTTGAAATTCACGGAGATATTACACTGTTTCGAATGTCTTACTGCCAATGACAATTCAATCTTAATATAGTAATATAATAATTGTGTTTTCACATTTAAGGTAATGTGATCAATACGAGATTGAGATTTATTAAGAATTATTGATCTTTTTTATAAATTCAACAAAAAAATACAGAAGTATTCATGATAAATAGTACTTCAAATAAATAAATTATTATGTTATATAAATAAATTAGTGGCTCTAAAACATTTGTACAGTAAAAAATACGGTTTATAATAACGAACTTATAAAAACATATTGACCTCCGTGTTTAAGATGAGAAAAGAATAACATATTGCGAAAAACTTATAAAATGGCGTTTCTCTCTTATAATTTTATTTACTATTATAAACAAAACAAATAAAAAAACGTATGAACACTCAGATCTAAAAATTGGAAATCATTAAATTTTTCTGTCAACGATAAAATAATAAGAATTATTAATATTTATTAATTGTAAATGAATTTATTTGAATCAATTTTTAATTATATGAAATTATTTCTTGATTTATACAATTTATTCAAAGATAGAGAATAGAATTGTAACTATCGTCTTACTTAAAATATTATTTAATTTAATACAATTGTAGAATATTAGTGCAAATTACAATTTTAACAAAACTAGAAGCAAAATCAGATCAAGATTTAAATAAAGTTGGAGAACGCTGACCTATAATGTTTAATAGCAAGTAATCGTATCTTAAAACAAAAAAGAAACGTACCTTCGACTCAGTCTTGTCAATTCACATTGGTGTTTAAAAACGCCAAATGTACGTGCCAGAAAACAAAAAAAAAATCTTACCCACCACAAATGTATAAATAATACAATTCTCGTTCCGCCGAAAAAAATGTATTTTCACATACGCATGAGAGAGAGGGAGAGAAAGAGAGAGAAAGTGAAGAAAAAAGCAAAAAATGGTAGATAGTCCATACAGGTTGTAATAAGATCATCGGAGAACGATGTATTTTTGAAAATTCTAGAAAATGCTAGTTCCGCCGAGTTAGTTAATAATAAACGAAAATCGCATTTCTTTTATATGCGTGACAAATTTCAGCGCTGTAATTGCAATATATGTATGTACATATATATATACATACATTACATACATATATATCTACATCATATAAAGCAATGGCTGAAATCTAATGCTAATTTCGCCAGTTATCTATGATTATTAATGATGGTCGTACGGGTTCAAAAACTCGTGTCCAAGAGTATTTTAATCCATACACTCTAATGATCTCATTTCATGTAATATTGGCAGTTTGGAATGATAATGATTTCTGCCGATATTTCGAACTGACTTGACAATTTTGATTAACAATTAATAAATTATGTATAAATATATTTAATGTAAAAAAAAAAATAAGATAAGATAATGTGAAATGAATTGAAACGGAATGGCTCAAGAGCTTTGCTAAGTAATAACAAACAAATGAATGCAGTTTTTGTGTAGTATTAAGTCTGTCTTGCTGTGACTAATGGCTAATCTGCATTGATTTGAATACGAAATTGAGCAGATTTTCTATAACCGTTTTAATAGTATATGAAAATTTTTTACTAATATTATGCTATTCGACTTTAATAGAATGATGATTTAACATTATCATTTTTTTTTTTTTCATTAATTGGCAATACTTAATAAATATACTAATTATATTATACATAAAAATTATTACATTAAAAAATTTTTATTTTTATTTTTATTTTTATTTTTTTTTTTATTTTTATTTTTTTTTTATTTTTATTTTTATGATTTTTAACAGTAATTTAAACTGGGAAATAATATTTTCAAAATACACTTCAAAATAATATACATGATATAAAAATGTCAAATATGTATCTATATGTTATTAATATAAATTGTTATTAACATATATATTAAAATTGCATTATCTAAAAACGGTTTCATTAAA